TAAATGATGTCCAATAGAGGACCAACCCTCACATACATAATCATTTAGTAAGTAAAACGAAAAATAAAAGACCGATGCAAATAACATACAGCAATGGCGAGTAATCAAACTACGCTACTCACCTTGCAGAAAACCGTCAAGAACGCTCAACAATAAAGACAGGAAACTACAGCACGACATACAAAACGGACGAAAATGAACATAGAAAATCTGGAAATTGGAAAAAAAAAACAGACTATTAAAACACATACTAGACTTTACAGAATAACAGAGACACGTTGAAGATGACGTACGGTTAGAATGAAACGAAACCTTGGTGGGGAACATTTGGAATATCTCTTAAGTTTAATCATTTCAAGCAAAAATCACCATGTTAAGATAGTTTCAAAATTATGCCTAGATTTTGGATAAGTAGAGAAGTGGAATTTATCTCCAAAATTTTTCCTTCCGGTAGTCTGTGAACTATAACATTAAAACTGAAATAACAAATAAAACTATAAATAACTGAAATTTATTTTCACTCGATTCATCAACTTACTTCTGTATAAAAGGACATCGCACCTTCATTCGCCCGCCGCTTAAAAACTGTTTTAATATAGTCTTTTATAAACTCCGAACTACAAACTGTCATATTGTTATTTTTTATGTTGTTTCTTTCCGTTTGCCTTCTCCGGACGCCTTTGCATTTCAAAAGGATCCAGAAGGAAAGAAGTCGTTGCGCTCGCCCTCACGTCCTAGCAGGCTGGACAGTAGGAAAGAAGATATTTCCTATTTGCTCATTCTTTTCTTCCCCTGTGCAGAGACCTTCCTATCCTTATTTTGCTTAGAGTTAATATTAATTTCATTTATTTTCGTTAACCGTTGAATCCGGTTGTACTTTCCTTTCTTTTACCTTTCCTCTTCCCAATCTCGAAACTAAAATTCGCAGAAGATAAGCGTAGTTTTCATTATTTATTATTATGTTTCTTTTTTTAATTTTAAATTTAATGTCTCCCTGTCTAAGAGAGAGGAGTCCTCCGATTTCTCTTCATTATTAACTGAAATCACCCGGCACCGATCGCTGTCCAGCTTTCTAAAATTATTCGGAAGCAGAAATCGGCGAAAGAACAACGAAACAATAAGTTTATCAAGCTCTAATTTTTCTCTGTTTTTGCCATGTCAGTTAGTTGCACATTGTCGAAAATTTTGATGGCCAGCCATTTGTTGTATGAATGTGTGATGTGCAGATATTTAAAAAAAATCCATTAAGCTATGAAACAATATACAAAAAATATAAAATTACCAAGTTTTTCATTTTTTCCTCGTAATTCGTACATTCGTGTTTATCAGGAGAATTTGGCCTGTTATAGAAAGGATGTTAATGGCGAGCACGCCATTAACAAAATAGCCAGCCTTTCACCATTGAGGACTTGGAATTCCAGATAATTAGATGTTTTCGCCCTTTTCATTTTTTCTGCTTGAAAAAGCTTCCTAACCATTCCGATGCCGTTCAAGGGAAATAATAAAACATCTCGTTCACGAGGAATCCACCAAATAAAATATAACGAAACGAAAAATAAATATTTACGCTCCTTTTGTGAAATAAAATAAATTGCTCTATAAATACTCTAAATAAGAAGCTAAAGAGATTGTAAATAATTATTGTTCCGACTATCTCCATTATGATGACCGTTGTTTCTATAATTGGAAAAAGGTGAACATGAAGGTCTATTTTTCGTCATACATTGTGTTTGTAAGTCGCGTAAACTTAAAAACACAATGTATGGCCGAAACTCAAAATTAATTTTTTTGAAGACACCGCAATAAACAACTCTTGGTTTGATCATAATTTGGAAGAACTCGGTTTGTTAGGGTTCATCATGTTCTGCGACTATGCTCGTTAGTTGGCGCCGCTGGATGGATGGCTGACAAGTATACGGCTGCAGGCATGGACAGTGACGACCTCATGACTGTAAGAGAGAGGATGAGGTGTCAACTCAGCAAGTACTTAATACCGAGGAGCTTGAGCGTCTTTTTCGTAGGCTCAGGTATGCATCCTCTTGTCTCCACTACTTCACCGGTCGCCACAAAGTAACTTTTCCTGTGCAAATTTTTGAGGATATCCCTCCGCACCGCGTACCTTTGTGTCTTGAGGTCTGCCCATGTGTCCAACGCGCCGCATTCTCCTAAGCCATGGCTAGGTCTAGGATTAGTACTCGACGAAGTCCGGCCGGTGCCCGGTGGGGAGCTTCCACGGCGACCTGGGAGCTTGTGTCACGAACACCGACGACGAGGACCTGTAGGCACGAATCTTTGTGTGATTCTCTGGGCACGTCGAGAGGACGTGAGAGAGCGTATCTGTGTCGGCCCCACTTCTTCATTGGGCTGGCACTTTCGTGTCTGCCCTTCCAACGCCAAGAGAGCCAACGATTGCCCACAGCGTCGCCGGCAAGATCTTAACTCCGAGACCGGTTGCACCCAAAGCCGCCAAATTATATAATCCCCCCCCCGTAATGCCGTTTGGCAAGCAACCCTCGCAAGTGGTGGGCCCCTCCCGTGCATACTCACCTGGTTGGCCTCTTAGAGCACCCCGATCCGCGGGTCGGAAGCGACGACATCAAGCACTAACGCGAGGGCCACTAACGCTCTTAAGGAAGGAAAATTGGAATGGCATAATTATGAAACTAAGCATACCAGACCAATCAGAGTAATGGTTTGTGATCTCCATTCCTCCAGCAAATCAGAAGTTATAACCGCCGACCTCCAAGAACAGAGCTACATAATATTAGAAGTTGTAAATACAATAAGAAAAACTAAGGATGACAGCGGTAAGGAAGTTCAAACGAAAATATCAATAAAAGTTATGAAATTCAATACATTTGTAAAATGAAAGTTAAGATAGAAGCACTGGGAGCAACAAACTGAGAAACAACTTCCTCAGTGAAAAAAGTAACTGGTATTCTGACATACATATAAATATTGTAATCATACTACAGTGTGTGTGAAATATGCTGGAGACCACCTCACGGGACTATCCACCAAACCGAGAGACTGGTTGTGTGCGCAAATTGTACCAAGGCACATCCAGCGAGCCGCAGGGGTGCCAAATCGCAAAAGCGTTACAAAAAAGGCGACAGGTAAACAATAATCAAATGGAGTACAAAAGTAAAGAAGTGATTTCTGGAAAATCGGAGGAAGGATTACTTGCCCAAGTGGCTTCAAATAAAATGACGAATAGAATCTTCCAGTAACTACATTTGAAATGATGCAGCAGATGATGGGTCTGTTTGAATTTATTTCAAAAAAGACTGACAAGACTCGAAACTTTGAGTGCTTCAAAGTCCAAAATGAATAAAGAATTGTTGAAAATAGTAACGTGGAACGCAAATGGGGTCCTAAACAGAAATCACGAATCGGAAGCTTTTTTATTTTCCTACGACACATGGCAGAACAGTCTTTCTTAAAAATTACGGACTAAAAAACGGGGCTACAAAAGGTATCATGCAGTTTATCCTAATAACAAAGCAAGAGGCGGCAGTGTGGTCATAGTTAAAGATAACATTAACCACTACGAAGAACGACACCTACAAAACGAAGAGCTAACCATCATTTCTATGAAATGGTTCAAGCAAAAATTAAAAATGGGCGCAATTTATTGTCCACCTAAACACATCGTTAAATCTTACATCTATACGAACCGAACTTCCTGAAAAATCTAGGAGAGAGGTACATTGTACGTGAGGGCTTTAATGCTAAACATGTTGACTAGAGTTCAAGATTAACAACTAAAAAAGGAAAAGAACAAAGAAAGATCGACAGAAGGGATGCCACTATCATTCCACAGGCAAGCCAACTTATTGGCAAACAGATAGTAATAAAATACCTGATCTGCTAGAGTTTTTCTATCAAGAAAAGTCTTACATAATTTGATTTATGTTGAAGAAAATTTTGATCTAAGCTCAGGCCCCTCTCCTATCATATAATACAACATGAAAGGTTGATAAAAAAAATAGACCTAAATCATGCGACTGACTGGAATAGTTTTGTATTTCAAATTGTAAAAGCCATCAGGCTAAATGTTAATTTAAAAACAAAAGACTAGTTTGATCGTGAAGCAGACAATTTCAATATTATCATACAAGGTGCATTTTGGAATAATAGGAAATATTTTTTCAGAGGGACATTTTCATTTTATTTTAATTGTATTGACTTATCGAATCCCGAGTTTAATTTTGTTTTTTCTTTACCCTAATTTTATTTGTATTAATTAGAAGTCATAAATTGTTCAGTTAACCTGTCCGTTTATTTAACTCTCTTTATTATTTCTATTCAAAATTAATATTTACTTTCACTGCTAGTGTAACCCGAACCAGGTTCGTACCTTAGTGGTAGTGAACAGAGTCTCCCGATTGAATTAAAAATACTGCGATCCCAACCCCTATTGTTTTTTAATTGTATTCGTGGATAAATGTATTTATTAGCGAGAAAGGAGTGTATGTTCTAAGGTCGATTGTATGTACGTGTGAATGATGGTGAAATATGCAGTATCTTGACAGTACCACTAAGGTACGACTCGATTCTGAATCTTTACTAAAGTGAATATTATTGAAAAATCCTGAGGGCACGTGGTTCAGCAAAGTACATTTCGCAAAAATGTTTTGTTCCATTAAAATGAAATATATGGACTTAAAAAAATGGAGCTTCACGACTCATTCTGCTCATATACCCGATGTGGTAATTTTTTCCATCTATGGCAGACTTTGGTTCTAACCCGGATGTACAATTCAAATGATTCACTCGCTGAAAAATGTTTCAGTTACATTAATGTTAAAATGTATTATGCATTAAAAAATTGCGTTTGAAGTTAATTGAGCGTTTTAAATTTAACATCGACTAGACTTTGGACGATGGGCATTAAGGCCAAATGTACAATGCATCGGCCAATGCCAATCAAGTGAGTAGGCAAGATCGATTACTGTAATGATTGATAAATTGCTGTTGTGTTTTTGGAATGTCCTTACCACTCCTGTATTTGGATCTTTGGCGCCGTTGCTGAAAGTGGATGCCAGTGTCGATGAGCAACTTTCGTCGTAATGGGCGTTCTGCCCGTCGTTTATCGCACTGTTGATTGATATCGTCCACATGGATGCTGCATAGCCGTCGCAGTTGCAGTCGTCCTCCTCGCCTCCGTCTCCGCTGGCCCACACATAAATATTTCCTAAACCATTTCGACCCTGAAATCAGACAGAAAATAAATTTAAAAAATTATAATATCCAACATCAGACTTTCTTAACTTTGAGTATTTCTTTTCAAACATTACACGTTAAGTCAGTTTTCATTTAAAAAGAAAGCTTTAAAAAAACTGGGTATATTAAATATTGAAGTTTCCGTAAACAAACGAGGGAGAATGACTAATAATTAGTTAGTACACATTTAATTGAAAATGACTCCTCTTGAATTTCTTGAAGGTTAGTCAGCATTGAAATGAAAGGATTCACCCCTCCTTTTGTAGCTCCGGATATAAGACCTCAGTTTTATTAATTTAATCCTAACTACGTCTGTATTGAATACTGGTATTTGATGATATGTGTATTGTGAGAGTATAATATGTATTTTACCTTATACCTTCTGGCTATTATTAACGATATGATTGTATAGTTATAATTATGCGTTAGCTTTATATTATGCTTTCAAATAGATACCAAAAAACAAGAGATGTTAAAAAAGCATATTTATTTAACAATTTATACAATATTAAATAATGACGATTATAAAATACTACATGGTTATTAATTAATTAATTATTAGAAGTTGGTTATCGCTGATATATTACTAATGCTAATAATAATGCTATGGTTATTGACTTTTTATTATTAGATTGGTTTTTTGTGACAAATTCGTATATGTGTGTTCAAATTTGGGGGGGTTATTGGGAAAAAAGGGCCAGGGGCAACGGTGGGAATCGAACCCACGACCGCAGCGTGAGAGTCTCTCATGCTAACCACTCGGCTACCGCGGTCCCCAAGATTGGTTATATAGTTGTATAATTAATGCATTAACGCTCCATTGTGAGTGCAAATCGATAGCAATGACAAGAGAAAAACTTATTTATATATCTATAATTTTCAAAAGTATTGATTTATTATTAAATTATTATGAATTGTATTAAAAAAATTAAGGTTAAAACATAATAATAATATCGTTGAGTATGGTATCGACACTACAATGATACATCATAAAGCTAGGCGATCAGGGATGACGTGATGAAGTTAAAAAAAACTTATTTTCTGATGTCGAGCTTTCTTTCGCCTGATTTGACGTTTACTTATTATACCTTTCTCAAGACTCTGTTTAATTAAGTGCAATTTTTTTTACAGCTTACACATATAAAATTATGATTATTGAACTAAGGTAGTTGAAAACCTATTTAAAAACAAAACAAAAAAAAATTTATGATTAGTGGTCCTAATAGGAGGGACCAGACAACTCAACCCAGCTCACCGGGAGAGATAACCACTAATTAAGAATCCTCTCCGAATCCTCCTGATAGTAATAGTGGCCAGGCATTAAATGTATACATGACAATTACTTATGTTAAGGAAATTTAAAATAAATTGTTAAATACTATCAAACAGCAGGACATTAACTGTGAACTTTGTAGTGGGACAGAGCGGGAGGATTTGTTTCATTTCTTAGTGATTTGCCCTACATTTGCTTCTGTAAGGAAACAATATTTTTGTAGAGAAGCTCAGTCTAGTTAGGTTCTGTTAGAATATATTAATCGCAAGGATTGGACCGTATTAGTAATTTTGTAAAGAGGTGTAAAGAGGCTTATTCTCTTAGAGCCAGAATCAGAAGCACTTGGTGAGGATGGAAGCGGCATCACATTTCGGATTCCCCTGAATAGATGAAAAGCTCATCCTCGACTTAATATTGTTCGTGTGTTGTGAAAACCCATTGGCTGAGTCGTATATGTACCTTTTCCTACAGGCCACCTTTGTTCCAATATTAACACTGTCGTTTGTTTTTGGCTTAAGTCCCAATAATTATCGTAAACATTTATTATTTGTTTTCTATTACCACTTGTAGTATAAAATATAATTTATTATTATTTACTTTTACTTTTATTATTTCCATTTACTTTGTTTTGTTTTTTATTTAGTTTAATTTATTAATTGAGGTAATCAATCATTATAGGTAAACATAAATGAGTGAATTCACTAATTTCGTGATCCGCTTGACCAATTAATATATTACAATTAATTAAGGTTTTTAGTTGAGATAATAAAGTCAGTGACAGGAGCGGGATTCGAACCCACGACGTTCGGCTAGATACGCCGCTGCTCTACCACTTGAGCTATCGTGACCTCGATCCACTCGGACATTAACTTCCCATCTCAACCCCACCTTTTGAAATTTCCCTCCTTTTTGCCATTTTTTTGTAACTAAACTTTCCACATATTAAAGAAACAAGAGAAATAAAAAAATATATTTCATGATTGTAGAATGAGTACTCTGGTATGAGTACTCTACTAGAATGAGTACTCTGGTGTTTCGTTTTGAGAGTAAAAATAAGTTATTAGCGGGAATGGAGTGGATTCGACTCCCATATATGTAATATTCTTGGGGGAGTGAATGTGACCAGTCTTCTATGTTTGCGGAAATATGTATTGTAGGTTTTATATCTTTTCTGTAGTAGCCAACCTGAGGAACAAATGGGAAGCCAGCATTTTAGGATGTAAACTTAATTTGTACATAAAAGCAGATAGTTATACTGCAAATCGGGTCTGGAGGGTGAGGAAAAGTAGACGAGGCGGCTAAGGTCGAGTCCTCCCAACCTCCGACCAGAAAGTGGCTGCGTCGGTGGGCCGAGAAACTTTCACGTATCAAGAGCACTGACGATAGGTGGTCCCCCGAGGTTCTGATTCGTAGAATAAGGGTGAGATCCGATTACCCGAGAGCGTATAGGATGCCATACGATATGAGAATTGTCCTTGAGCACGGCAGCGAGTCTTTGCAACCTCTGTTCCGATTTTTGGGGAAACCTTCTATTGCATATAGATTGTTTTAAGTTTCCTTTTTTTTTGTACGGAGAGTGAATGTATATATTAGAGTGGGTATACTGTGTGAGAGGGCCGATGGTGAAATATTGAGTACCCATCGACTTTCCATTAGATTAGTTAGCCTTCTCACACTAAACAAAATTTAAGATGCTTTTGATACCAAAACTACGGTCACCTTTCCACTTATTGCCATCAAAATCCAAAATGTTCGATCTGCGCAAACTGTCATGAGACAAATGTCTATCCTGTCAAGGTTAGGTTGCCCTAGATGTGCTAACTGTGGCGAAAACCTCGAGCCTCTGAGAGCCCCTTCTATAAACACTTCTAGGCAAAGGATTTAGAGAAGAAAACCTCGGTCAGGACAAATCAACAGAAGTTTCGGATGCATCCTGATCGATTACCCCCTCCTAATAAATCCCGCATCAATCCAGCCTGTTATCAACACACTAACGTGGCCATGAAGGATCCAACCTCGTCACTCTGTTAAAGGAACTGAAGAGCATACTTAACTTTTCAAAATTAATAAATCTACTGAAAAATACCTTGTATCAATTTAAAAGTTCATCTCATTCTTTTACCAAAGTTTGCATTTTAGCGGAGGCGTTTCTTGAATAATGTGTACTCAAAACAGCAATGCCATATTATCTTGTAACCTACTAACTTGGAACTGTAATTCTATGACAAACTGTCTGATTTTCTGATTGACATTTGTGGCCTAGTCGAAACTAAATTAATTCTTGAAAACAAAATAAGAGTACGTAACTATAAAATGTATAGAAACGACCAAATCACACATAAAGGGGGAGTTGAAATTTTAATAAAGACAGAGTGTAAACACAAACCTCTTCTACTCCCACCACTTAATTCCGTAGAAGACGTAGGAGTAAATATCAAATTGCCATCATATGTTGCCATAAGCTTCCCAAAAAACGATTAATAGAATCAGAACTTTCTCTACTTTTAAATACACATTCTTAAGTAATTCTTCTATGGGAGTTTAACACAAAACACGCCGCCTGGAACGGTGCTTACAATAACAATAACCGTGCTTAAAAAATCGTACAATTAATCCCTCTAAAATAACTTTGCTTTGGTTACTCCTGATGTTCTACATACTTCCCTCCTTCCCCAAGAATTCTCCGTATCCTAGAAATGTTTATATTAAAAAACACGTGAGTACACAAACCCACACAGTCTCCCTCTTTTAAGTTCAGATTATATCCTATACTCTTGTACTTCCCAGGTTCAGCAACAAAAAGCTAACTGGAAAAAATGTCAGGATTCCCTGGAAGGAAAATTCTATCTGCCCCGAACGAATAAGAGCGTAACGACTTAAAATTGTAACTCCGGAGTACATCTCTAATTTTATTTTTTGAAAAACCTAAAACCCATACAACATTTCGGAGAGAGGAATAAGGTTTTTCGCAAACACACACTAAAATAATCAGCCCCTCGTCGAAATTCGCTGCCGGTTTCTTGGTGATGGGACGGCAACTGATTCTTATCTCCTCATGTTGCGAGCAACACGAGTAAACGTTTTGTGGTTTACTCTGGGGCGATCAGGAAATTTCTGGGTGTACAACTCGACTGCACACGTTCAGTACCACCAGTACCAATAAAGCAGTCGTACATATCAACTCGCTGTTGATCGGAAAAATGTACTCTTCGGTTCATTTTGAACTAAATACTGAATGTAACAAATAGGTACGGTTGTAAAATTTATTTACTTCCAGGAATTAAGATTTGCTCTCATAATGCGAGTTTGACAAACAATGATAGAATATAAACAATAAAGACAATTATTGTTTACTTTAGTGAGGAAGCAAATTATTGGAATTAACAAACGAAAGGCGTTTTTTCAAACTTTTCAAACCATAACTTCGTGATTTTTTGACCAATATAAAATCCGAATGCACAATTGTTTTCAGCGTAAAGAATCCTTCAAAATGATATGTCAGGATATATAGGGTCGTGTTTGAATGATTTTAATTTGAACTGGTCGTTAGGTACCCTGTACAATTTTTCTCCCAAAATAGGTTACAATTTGAAACTAGTATTAAAATATTAAAGAATATTATTTTTGATAGCGTCATTGGTTGAAGAGAAATTCAGCCGGTCCATCTAAAAAGGACACCCGGTATAATATGTAATTAGAAAAGAATGTATTTAA